GGCAATGGGGGCGCAGAGGTGCTGGGGCTCCCGGGCTGATGCTCCTGGAGGCTTTGGGATGCTGCGGTTACTGGTGACTGCAGGAGACTGGAGAGGAGCCTCCTGGCCAGCAGGTGCTGCCAGGGACGGGATCTGGGGCAGGGGAAGGACCAGGCTGGCATGGAGATGCCAGTCCCCAGGGAAGCCCAGAGAATCGTGTTTAGCCAAGCTTTCCTCGAACCCACTCTGAGCCCCATCAGCCTGTGCTGGCAGAGATGGAGGGATCAGAAACCAAGCGGCACCCCTGGTGTGACGGAAAGGGGCTGGGGCATGGGACAGAGTGTGGGGCTCAGCCCTTACAAGCCAGCAGAGCCACCCAGCAGCAGCAGCGGGGCTGGGCTCCTGCTGCGCTCCCTTCTGCCCCGCTTCTGGGGAATCACTGCGCAAATTGCCCCAAGGTGGCTCTTCCTCCAGCTCCTGCTGAGCCCCCACAAGAAGGGACGGGGAGGAGGGAAGATGCTCCAGCGCTGTGCCGGGCTGCAAATGCGCTGCCTTCATCATCCCCGTGCCGTGGGCTGCCAGGATGCACTTGGCATCAGGGGCCGAGGGGTGAGGAGGCTGGGTGAAAGCAGAGTGCTGGTGGTTCGAATGAAAATGTACACTTTGACACACGGAGTAGAAAGTTCAGTGGTGGGAAGGATTTATGTTGGTTTTCCTGCCTGCCAGCAAGAGAGAGGGCAGGGGGAAATAGAAAACAGGAAAATGTGGGGGGTTGCAGGGTTGGGGGTGTCGCACTGCACTGGGGCTGTGCGGGGCTTTTCCCCTCCGCCCTGGCTGCTTTCCCTCCAGGTGCCCTGAGCCGTACCTGTGCTGCTATTTAGTTAAATATTAAGAGGTCAAGTAATAGAGAACCAGAAACCTAACTGTGTGCTGCCCTCCGTGGCACGGTGGTTTTAGGCGAAAGCAAACACGGCCCCTCGCATTACGGGAAGGTTGTGCCGCTCGAAGTGGCGGCCGTAATCCAGCCCGACAGCCAGCATCGGTGCTCGGGAGGCCGTGCAGGCGGGAGATGCCACGTTGCTGCACGATGAATGCCAGCAGCCCCTGGCTCCGTGGTGCCCACGCACTGGGCCTGGGGGGCCACAGCTGAGCTCAGCCCGCAGGGTCCGGGCGCCTCTGGGTGCTCCTCCATGTCCCTGAGCAACGGGAGACCCCGCTTTTGGCAGGAGCCGGGGCTGCCTGTGCCTCCCCAAGGCGGCTCGCATGCAGGACGTGGCCCTACAAGGCGCTCGTGTCCCATCTGGAAGGGGCTGCGTGTGTGCACGTCTACATGTATCCATCTGTGCATGCATACGTATGCGTGTGTCAGCAGGCATGAATGCACCCCTGTGCTTTTGTGTGCGTACACACGCTCGTAAGTTCATGCGTGTGCAGGCATCTGTGTGCATACACCTGCACGTGCCGGCGGCAGCGTGCGCGCCTGAGTACCGTGGGAGAGGAAGCTGGGTGGGAGCTAAAACTGCAGGAACCTCCAAGCTGTTCCCTTCTTTTTTCCTGCAAGGAGCAGGCAGGGGTCCTGCCGGTGGGGGCATGCTGTTCTGGGATGGGGCAGGGGAAGGCAGGGCTGGGGGAGCTCTCCCTGCCCCACAGCAGGCACAGCTCCCAGCCCATGTCACGTTTGTTCTCCCTGCTCCCAGTGGGTAAACTGAGGCAGGGGCCAGCCAGGGTCACCCACCTGAGGTCACAGCCGCTGGGCACAGCCTGGGCATCCCTAACCCCCAAATTGGTCACTTTTCCCCCCTTACCTGGCTGGGGGTACCTTCTCTGCCCACCAGCTATGCGGGTGGCTGGTCCCTGTGGCTCATGGTTGCCTCTGGACGGGCCCCCCACCCCACATTCCTGGAGGGGCAAAGGGGCTGTTCATGTGAGCAGCCCCGCAGAGGGGCTATGGCCTCCCAGCTCAGCCCAGTGCTCACACAAAATTGTGGGGCCATCATACATCTCAAGCACCCTCCCACCTCCCTTGCCCTCCATCGCCTGCCCAAAAAATAGCCGGAGTCATGCTGCATTGGGAACAGCTTTATCCGGACAACCCCGCACCCACAGGGCAGGCAGGGCATAGCCTCTATGGTCCCGCCCCATCCCCTCCCACCCCACCACTGCCCAGGACCCAGGGCTCATCCCCATCACAAGACTGCTCGCCAGGTGTCCCGCAGCCTGGCCTTCACCCGAAACTTCTGCACCTGCAGCACGACACCAAACTTGCCCTCCAGCGAGGGCAGGGGCTGGTCCTGGGGACACTCGAATGTGAACCTCTGCAGCACCCAGGACAAGAAGAGGAATAGCTCCATTTTGGCCAGGATTTCACCCAGGCAGACGCGGATCCCGGCCCCAAAGGGCAGGTAGCTGGGCGAGGGCGAGTGGATGTGCTGGCCCTGCTCATCCAGGAAGCGTCCTGCAAGGGGAAGGGGCACCACTGACGTCGGCAGGGATCGGTCCCTTCTGCCTGAGCCCTGCCTGAGTTCATCACGTGTGTGTCCCTCCCGCAAGCTGCAAGAGCAGAGACAGTGCGAATGCCCCAGCTTGGGGTGGGGAGCAGGACCCGACCTCCCACCACCAAGCCTCCCCTGGGCTCAGCCTCTCCTGCTGCACCCACCCCGCCATCCCCTGCCCCCCAGGGAGGACAGGGAGCACCTAACCCACCAGGGTTGAACTCCTCGGGCTTCTCCCACTCCTTCTCATCGTGGTGCACGGACCAGAGGTTGACGATGACCCTGGCACCCTTGGGGATGAAGTATTCCCCGATGCTGGAAGGCAAAAACAGAGTGACATGGTCGCTCCCTCCCGCAGTCTCTGCCCGGGTCCCAGCCGCACCTGGGGGGTCTCACCTGGTGTCAGCAAGGGACACGTGTGGGATGAGCAGGGGGGACACGGGACGGATGCGCAGCACTTCGCTGATGGTGGCCTCCAGGTAGGGCAGCAGTGGGCGGTCGCTGAGGTGGGGGTGACGTGCCAGCCCGATTTTCTGGTCCATCTCCTCCTGGATCTTCTTCTGGACCTGGGAGGGGAGCAAGGGCTGGGGTAGGAGCCCAGGCAGGGTGGTGGCCGGTGCGCAGGGGCTCCCTGTGGCAGTGGGGTACACCCAGCATCACCAGCACGTCCTGGCAGGTTGTGCAGGGCAGAAGTAAAATGCGCACAGCCTGACCCTGCTTATTCACAAAGCCTGACATCTCTCTTGGCACCTGCCTTCCCCAAAGCCCCCCACGATGTCCCTGGTGCCAGAGGGAGCCCAGACCCCCCCCCCACGGGGCGCAGACCCTACCTCAGGATAGTGGAGCAGGTAGAGCACAGCCCATTTGAGCACAGTTGTGGTGGTCTCCACACCAGCCCCAAAGATGTCCCCCACCGTCATGAGGAGGTGGTCGTCAGTCAGCTCCAGCCCTGGCGCTGGGGGGCTGCTGTTCTCGGCACTGAGCCTCACTTGCAGGAGGGCATCCATGAGATCCCTGACAGCGTCCCCGTGGAAGGCTTCCTGCCAGGGGACACACGTGAGCCAGGCTGTCCCGGGCACAGTCCCCTCCACCCCAGCTCCAGCACCCTGCAGCTCCCGAGTATCTCCCTGTCCTGGCCCCGTTGGCACCTTGTGTTCGGTGAACTTCTGCTGGAGCAGCTGGTCCCGGACCTTGAGGCATCTCTTCAGCAGGGCCAGGTCCTTATTGGGGAAGATCTGGGGGAGAAAATCCCCATTAGAGCCAGGGGCTCCAGCTCAGCCCAGCTGCTGCAGGCCCCCAGGAAGTCGCTCCGTGCCCACCAGGGTACTGGCTCTTGTGGGACACCAGGGCAGGGACCCTCCTAACCCCAGGGGCTCAGGTTCTAACCCTGCTGCAGGACACATCCCAGCTCCTTCCAATCATCTGAGGTGAGAGGAACAGGCAGTCCCCATGGTCCTGCTCACCTGGAGCCAGGGGAAGATGTCCACTAAGCTCTCCTTGGCCACGGTGTCCACGATACCCTGGCTGTACTCCAGCACGGCCTCGAACTCGGGGTCCCCGCGCCGGTACGAGGAGTTGAAGCAAAGGGAGCAGACCACGTTGGTGACGGCCCGTGTGAACTCGGGGGCCACATCCAGGGCCGTATCTTGCGCAGTGATGAGCGTCTCGCACAAGGACGCAGCCTCCCGGCAGACTGGGGTGGGGGGGAGAGGCAGGCGAGGGGGTGATGGTGAAGCCGAGGGGGTGGAGGGGGCAGCTGGGGGCTGGAAGGAGGGGTCCCCAATCATTCAGGGTGTGCAGCCTGCAGAGAGCACCCCCCAGCCAGGGCTGAGCCCTGAAGGGCTGGGATGGGCAGCAGGGACGATGCTGGGTGCTGGGGAGGAGCAGGGAGGATGGAGACGTGCAGAGAAGTCTCTGTGTGGCTGGACGCTCCTCCTGGGTGGAATGAGGAGCCCAGAGGGCTGGGAGCTGGCGCCGTACCTCAGTTTCCCAAGCTGTAAGCAAGGGGAAGCCAAAGCTCAGGGTGGAAAATGGATGGGGAAAGGTGTCAGTAAAGTACTGGGGATAGAAAGAGAGGGACTGGGCCCCCGCTAGGCAAACTGGGGGGGATGCTTTGGGGTTTGGGCTGAGCCAGTGAGTCTCGCCTTGGTTCCCAGGGGATCGGGGCATGGAGAAAGGGAAAGTCCAGCCTGGATCAAGCGCAGGAGGGAGATAGAGCTGGGAGGGAGCCTGGGGGCTGGTGGGGGAAACTTACTGATCCTCTCGAGGGCGAGCGAGCCCTCCCCGAACATGGAGAGGGCGGAGTGCACCAGCTTGCGCTGGATCTTCCAGAGGGGGCCGTAGCTGGCGAAGGCGATGTCCTTGCCCCCCCGGGACAGCAGGTCCGTGGTCACCTGTGGGACAGGTGGCCCCAAGGTCACCCCGTGAGGGCTGTGTGGTGGAGAGGGGCGATGCTCCAGGGGGCTGGTGGTTAGCACTGGCAGGCAAAGCCTGGGCCCTGAGCTTTGCTTTCCCTCCGCCCCCAGGGACCGATGGAGAATTCTGGGGACAGATGCCAGGGTTAGGGGCTAGAGCGGCCAGGAAACTTAGGGGGTGCAGGGAGCCTGGTGGTACCTTACCCCACATCCCCAAGCCCCAAGATGCAGCCAGCCCCGGGAAGAATGAGCACCCTCAGGATGGAAGATGCACCGGATTTGCCCTGGGGAACAGGGCAGAGTGGGGCTGCCCCTGCCATTGCCTTGCTGTGGGCTGGATGGGGAGAGGAGATGGACCCTGCTGGGGGCCAGTACCTTTCTGGGGAGCATCCCCTGCCTCACCCCACGCCACAGTGGGAGGGGGCCCCCCGAAACCTGCTGCCGACTCACGGTGCGAGGCCGTCCGGCGAAAGCCTTCCCCTTCTTCAGCAGCACCTCCTTGGCGTGCCGGTAGCTGTTGACCACCACCACGTAGTGGGGGCCCATCCAGAGGGCGTAGAGGCTGCCGTAGCGGCCCTGCAGGCGCCAGAGCCGCAGGTGGAGCTGGGGGTGCCCGGCCAGCTGCAGCAGGCTCCCCACCAGCGGCAGGGCCGGCAGGCTCCGCAGCCGCCCTGAACCCGTCCCCGTGGTGGCTCGCCGGCGCACCAGCCCCCAGGCGCAGAGCAGGGCCAGGGCCAGCAGCAGGGTGCCCAGCAGCGGCATGGTGGGGCCGGCTGCGGGGCTGCGGCAGCGCGGGGGGCCTTTATACCAGCTGCGGGGTCATTGCCTTGACCCCAAGGAGGGCTTGCCTCCTTACTGGGGGACAGGGAGGGGGGGAACCGGGCGCCGGGCTCGTGGCCAACTCTGCAGCTGGGCACCCGTCGGGGAGCGAAGGCAGTGCGGCCATGGCCACGGGAGCCGGGGGATGCCCAGGGCCAGGTCCTTCCCTGGGGCTCTGTCCCCACGGCCCTGCAGCGGGTGACGCGTGCAGAGATGGCTGATCCCTTGGGGTGACCCCGGGTGCCATGAGTGCAGCTGGGGACTGGTGGGGCATTGGGGTCTGTCCCCAACCGGGAGTCCCTCGACGTGCCCAGGAGGCGATGGGCACCACAGGGCTGGGGCTCTGGGCAGCGCTGGGCAGCCCTGGGCAGCACTGGGGAGTACTGAGAAGCCTTG